CAAGCTGGAACTCGCTCCAAGAAATCCGATCAAGGCCCACTCTCGGCATCTCAGCAGGTACTGTCCAAGTGGAGTCCAGGCTTGTCCAAATCTGAGCAACTTCGTCTGACAGAAACTGACCAAATTCCTCAGCTCTTCCCTGCAAGGGTTCGCCCGCATCCCTCCCTTTCAGGAGGGAGCGGGTTATCCTAAACAGGGCGGCCAGGCGTGATTCTGAGGATGCAATGAGAGCGGAGAAATGCGTACATTCAGCCGCCCGAATCGCCACTAGATAAGTCCTAATAAAGGCTCTTAATTGTGTTCGGTCAGATTCGGATTTATTGGCCCTCCAGCGTTACTCTAGATGTCTCTTTTGGCGCTTCATCTCCCGGAATATCACAATATTGCCACAATTTGTAAGATTTTGGTATGCTTGCTTTAAAATCTTATTAAATATTGATAGTTCTCTTTAAATCTTGGGAGAGTTTATTGCATTTTTGAAGATTTGTCTATTTAAAATCATTTAAACTTTTGAAGGATTTTCAAATATATGGTCTGAGATGGAGTAGGTAATAGAGTGTTCATGAAAACTGCATTGCCAATCCATTCTTTGATTAGTTACATGTTTATTTATTAGTTTATTAATTTTATATGATAAGCACATTCCCTTGATTGGTAGTTTTAAGACCTATGTTTATTTGGCAAAAGACACATAAACTTAAAAGTTCAATTTGAGTTCTTGGGTTTAGAATTGCACTTTTAGGAAAAAAAATCACTGTTATTATCCAATATATAATCCTTTTTTTGTTAAAATTAGCATATGGAATGGGAATTAACATGGAATGGGACAACTCTTCTTGGCCATCTCATCACAGGAGACTCACCATGGCCAACTTACCAAGGGATAATTCAACCCAAGATAACTCAAGAGAGGAACAAATAGAATTGCAGCTCATCTCAGCCTCAAGAACTTTTAACTTGAGAAGATTCAAACTTAAAGCAAGATAATGTCCACTGTAATTCACTTGTCCCTCTCTTGAATTATCCCATGTTGAATTGTTCTGGGGCGAGTTGGCCAGGGCGAGTTGCCGTTGACCCTGTGTAAAGCTTTTTAAAAACAAAGGTTTGACTAATGCCATGAAATTACATATGACAGAAATATAATTATAAATACTTCTGGAGAAATTGTGTTTTAACATGAGATTTGTGAATTTTTTTTTAAATAATGTTTTTCTTATTTTGTTCATAGGGTCTTTTACTCAGAGAGAAAGTATCTGAGATTGAAAGCTTAGACAAACTAATGAAAAGAAAAAACATACCTGAAGCTCATCAAGATGCGTTTAAAACTGGGTTTGCAGAGGGTTTTTTGAAATCACAGGCACTTGCACAGCGTACAATTGGTCAGTTAATCTGTTTTGTTAAAGCAGATTTTGTAATCATTTATAAATTTCCTTTCTTTTTAATATTGGGAGAATATATTTTAAATATGTAGTAAAATCAATTCCTTTATGCCTGTTTTGTCTAGCAATAGGTAAGTACCTCTCCCCTCCATGTCTTCATCACACATAAGATGATCAGTTTTAATAATTTTCTTGTTCCTTTGAGGCCAGATGTCACCAGATAGGGAGACACATAGCTATAAGCTTCTTTGTGCATTTTGCATAGCTTGAGTCCCCATTCCAAATAGACATCTATGTGAAGTTGCTGAGTGAGGCTATCTCTTGATATAAGGCTAAGTATCAAAAGTGTTCATACTCAGCTATACATCTTTGTTTCAGGCCACCCACATTATTAGTCTGTAGAGATTCTCAGTCTTCCAGATCATGGTTGACAACCATGATCTGGATGACTGAGAATATCTTCAGACGTTTAGCTATTCAATTTGGGATGAACACCTTTTGAATGGTGTAGGAATAGGAATGGATTTCCAGAGAAAAATCGCAGACTACAGGAACCAGGGGTATTACTCAAGTGACCCTGAAGACACAGAAAAAATTCCCAAGTGCTTCAACAATCCCCTAAAATGATGCAGATTACCAGCTATCTGCAAGGAATATAAATCCTTCCATTCCCCACTATCTTTCATAGCTGAAGAAGCTTTTTGGATGAGAAGCGAAACGTCTTCAAAAGTTAAAACAAGAAAGTCCAGTTGCCTCATGAAAAAAGCACCGTTGGGACACCCAAGTTACTGTTTCTTTCCCAATTCCTGGAAGCTTTGAGAGTCTGATTGGGGGGAAAAAACATTGTTAACCTAGTGAGGATACCATTCCCCAGATTGAGTTGTGCAATCTGAGGTCAGTCTAGACTCAGGGTTCCTGCTCAAGGAATGGATGGCAACTATAGCCAGGCATTTTGCACTGCACCATATTGTGCCTCAGTTGTCTCATTCCTACACTGGGAGACGCTTCCTATAGTCACTGATGGCATATTATCCAGTTGAATTATTGCAGTGTAATGTATGGGAGGGGGGCTTTCCTTGAAAAGCATTGGAAGTTGTGAAACAATGTCACTTTGAAGTACCCAGGAGGCATGCCTTCTCTGTTACAATGCCAACCACTTGAAAGACTCTCCGTCCTAAGTTTTAGACGGCCCTGATCCTGGGAATATTCTGGAAGCCTTAAAGATCTGGTTTTTCACTCAGAGGCCAAGAGGTGTAATATGTATATTTGATTTTTGTGTTGTCGGAGAATATGTAAGGAGTCTCGACTTTTTATTTTTAATTGGGTGTTTATGATATTTTGTGTTGTGCTTATTTCAGTTTAATCAGATGCACATATTAATTTAATTAAAATGTGCACCATGGTCAACTGACTAAACAAATATTATTTTTTTCCCTTTCAGATTCCTTAAGACGAACCCGATTATTTGTCTTTCTAGCAGTGTTGTTTGGTATTTATACTGTGTTAAAAAGCCAGTTCTTACCTAAAGGCTCCTTTTCTGATGCTGGTTTGTTAACATTTCATTTTACTACATTTTTAATTTATTATTATTTAGTATTTTATTACCCTATGCTATACTTAAATTTAAAAGTCAAGTTATTCTGTGTCTGATTGTTAAAGAGTATATTTTAAATAGAGGAAAGAATTGCCTGAAATATAATGGAGATAAGAGAAAGAGATTACAGATTACTATCTGTATCTTTGTTTTATATTCATCTGTTTGAAGTATTTTTGAATAGGTTACATAGAACACTGATTTTCTTCAAATCAGTTAAATAATCCCAGCAGGTTTAATACTGTAGTTATGTCTCCTTTGCATTCCGGTATCTATTTACTGTAGCATCAACCATTTCAGTACTTCTATATTGAACAATATCAGAATCTTAATTTTAATGACATATTTTGTATCTTCTTGAATCTTTGGGAAGTCTTTGATCAGTATTTTAATTATAGAAAATTTGAAGATGTTCTTATTGTAGAAATCAGATGCCTGGATGATATGAATCCAACATTTGATATGAGTGGAAAAACATCTAATTGAGTAAACAGCTGCTAATGGTTTGTGTACATATTGAGACAGAAGCATTATCAAAGCTGGAGGTATTGGTATATATGTATATGCATAGTCACTTTTGGATCCCTTCTAAGAGTGAAGGGAAAGTATAGTTTTTAAAGAATATCAGTTCTGCATTATAATGGTATTTTATTATGTATTTATGAAATAAATGTATACAGCTGCCCAGATCATACAAGAATATTGTTACAGATGAAAATTTCTTAGTTATGTATTTATTTAGATTGTGATTTAAATGGCCATCTCTCTCTGTGTAGCTAAGTAGCTTTAAAACAGCAATGCAAGAACAAATAGCAGCAATAATAATATATTGTACAAAAATAAAGTATGACAAAATTTATTTCATTAGATAAATTATTTTGCTTGCAGTTCGCTTCCGAGCAAGTTCTGGGCTTGATGCAGCAGTTGATCCTATTCAAATGAAAAATATCACCTTTGATCATGTGAAAGGGGTAAGTTAAAGGATTGGATGTCTTCTGATTATGTAATAGAATTGAAGCAGTCAAATAAAACATGATTAAATCCAAACCATGATAAATCCAAAAAGGCAAGAAGTCAGTTCACATAAAACATGTTACTGGGACAAGAAAAGTGAAATGAATGAATTATATTGTGGATGAATTTAAAAAACCGGATACTTTTATTTAAAAAGTGTATAATAAATCTGAAATGGCAGGATCTGATCCAATTTCGCTGTATTTAAGATGAACATTTGATAGTTGGGCTATCTAGAGTTGTGATCTGTTCAATTTTTTTTTTTACTATTAATACTTGCAGTATATTCTCTCTCTCCCAAGCTGCTAAGTATCTGGCAGGATATTTTTTTTCTAAGAAGTGCTTCACATTGGCTTGGCACATAGTGTTGCCCACATGTATTCTACAGTTACCTTCTTTTATAATGGAATTCACTGTTTAACTTGAATCATTAATGATTTTGTTTTTTTTAAAAAAAGGACATATAATCAGATGAAGTTGCTATTTTTCATCTTTTAAAATTATGTAAGCATTAATATAAACTCTCAGGGTTTGACTTTGTTTCAGCACTGTGTTCCAAAAAGTTATATAGCAATTAATTTCCCTTTTTATCAAGTATATTTGTTTTTCACAATATTATTAATACTAGTAAATATTTCTACCAAATTTGCTCTCATGGGCCACGGATACTGCCATTATACTGATAGTATCCGGGGAATTTTTTTTAAAAAAAAATCCATTCTGTTCTTATTTTTGCCCAGAAACATACCACTTTGAATAAATATTCTGCTTAATGTGTAAAATGGCATAATGAAATCCTATCCCATTTAACAGTTCCATTAAGGGAAATATCTTTAAAAGTAACTTTATGTAGAATAACTATGTAATTAACATGTCAGAAGCATATTAGTATGAAATTATGATAGTCTACAAAAGTATTTTCTTAATTACATTTAGGTAGATGAAGCTAAGCAAGAGTTGCAGGAGATTGTAGAATTTCTGAAAAATCCTCAGAAATTTACCATTTTAGGGGGTAAACTTCCTAAAGGTAAGTGTGAACCTTTTATTATTGTAAGCATGAACCTTTCCTTACTAATATTGTATGATTTTTGTAAACCAGATACAATTTAATGTACAATTTAATGTCTGATGTACATTCAAATAATTTATTCTCATTCTGAATTATCAAGTTGGTTTTAAATCTTGGAGGGGAGACGAAAGGGTCAGGCAAAGGTGAGATTGCTTAGAGAAATCTTTTGTCCTCCTTCCAGCAGAGATTGGAGACAGAGAGATTTGCATGATGACACTGCATTTTATGTACAGGAGAGCAAACAATTTACTCTTTTGAAACCTTTCTTTTTGATCCTCCAGGAGGAACAAAAAAAATGGTCAGGCACAGAATAATGTGCACTGAGTGAAATGACGATCACGTAACTGAGGGTCATAAATGGGCCAAAAAGTTATTTTTTCAGCACTTTAAAACTACAAATAGTTGCTGAATGAATGGTCAGTAAGCAGGGACTATTTGTACTTCTTACTGAGTAATAAAGTTGCTTATTAAAAAATTACAGAATTTAGGACCAGTATTGACAATAATACAGTCTGTATGTTTAGCTTGATATTCTTTTCATTCTTATATCTTTCTAGGTGTTTTGTTGGTAGGTCCACCTGGTACTGGCAAAACTCTGCTTGCCAGGGCTGTGGCAGGAGAAGCTGATGTTCCCTTCTATTACGCTTCTGGGTCTGAGTTTGATGAGATGTTTGTTGGAGTGGGAGCCAGCCGTATTAGAAATCTATTTAGTAAGTTTTGGTTTTTCCTTGAATCCCTTTAGTGAAAATATCATCAATGCCTCAATATCTTATTAGTAAATAGCATCAGTTCCTTATTAGTAAATGGGTAACATATTAGTGAACATCACAAAAATTTAAATGAATTATCTTTCAGACTATTTGCAGTGTCTCCATTGTAAATATAAGTGGAAAAATATAATAACTCCCTTTGTGGGGTTATTCAGAGAATAGCTTTTGTAAATAAAGAAAATGCATAATGATGGTCAGAAAAATCTCCTGACTTTTGTACTGGAAACCAATGGAGACAAAGATTCTAAAGAATTTGACGTGTTATTTTCTTAGAGGAAGCAAAAGCAAATTCCCCTAGTGTTATATTCATCGATGAGTTAGATTCAGTTGGTGGCAAACGAGTTGAATCTCCAATGCATCCCTATTCAAAGCAGACTATAAACCAGCTCCTTGCTGAAATGGATGGGTAAGTATTGATTTTTTGTCTAACTAAAATTTTAATTTCATTTTAGTAAGAGCAGTGGGTGTTGAACCAAGTTGTACAAAACATTTTGGATTTGGAATGTTTTATATATGTCTAGAAGTGAACATGATCCATAAATATTGAGAAATCTTTTTATTCTTCTTAGGAGGAAAAGTTATTTATTTTGTTCCGTAGGATCCATAAACTCTTCTGTACTTAAATATATAGGTTTTGGGGATTTGGGGTGAGGGCCTACTCAAGAGCGAACAGCGCAGACATTCAAGTGGGGGAGTAGTATTAAAATCACAAATGGGTGAAAAGTAGGAAGATGCATTCTTCAAAAACAATTCAGCTTAAGTATTTTGAACCTTATATAAGAAAAGCAGCTTTCTGATACTTGAGAAATTTGCCCATTGAACAATGCCTATATTCATACAAGCTCTGAAAAATATATTGCTAACCATTCTCCAAGCATGTACACCTGAATTCAAAAACTAGTTTTCAGGTTTTTCCCTATTTCTTTCATTTTAAAAGTTGAACTATCCTTTTGTTAAAATTCAACTGGTATTGGCTGCTATTGCATGAAGTGAATATGATTAAAAATAGTTATTCTGTGAAGCAAAGTCATATGCTCAAGGAAGTGTTGGCGTCAACTGGAAAAAAATCCTCTACTACTAGATTTGCCTATAAAATAAATGAAGCATTCTTTGCAAATCCATTGAATAGAATATGATTTGCTAGATCTAAATAACTAGGGAAATATCACTGTAAGTATATTAATTACTTCTTTTTTCTTTCGAAGCTTTAAATCTAATGAAGGAATCATTATCATTGGCGCAACAAATTTCCCTGAAGCACTAGATAAGTATGTCTGTGTACATGTGCATATGTGTATAAAATACAACTTTTTATGATTTGATTTGTGCAAATATAGCTTTGGTAGTTTAGGACAGTAATAAGGATGCACAATTAATAATCCTGCTAATATTACTTGTCTTCATAATTAAGTAATTAAGAAAACAACTATATTTTGCTGAAGCAACCATTCCAAGTTCTTATCCGAAAATAATACAGATTTAAATGCAGTTAGTACACTTGAAATATAGCTGTGTAATATTGGTTCTTAAGTAGTCTTCCAAAAGATTATTGTGCTTGTAATTATTGTGAGATTTTCTGTGGAAAGCATTTAATTGTGCAAACTGACTTGAATGTGCAAACTGATGTGAATAATACAAATGTATTAGCAACTTTTCTTATTAAATTGCCTTTTAAAATATTTTAATATAAAAAATTAACCAAGATTATTACCATTCTCAATATTTTTTTCCTTCCCTATTTAGTGCTTTGTTACGCCCAGGCCGCTTTGACATGCAAGTTACAGTTCCCAGACCAGATGTCAAGGGACGAACAGAAATTTTGAAATGGTATCTTAATAAAATAAAATATGATAAGTGTAAGTGCTGCATTTTTGAAATAAAAACATAGAATTGCTAGCAGGCTGGCTGCATAAGAAATGCATGCTGATTGAGATTCAATATCTTCTCATTAATATGAATATTTGTGCTTAATAGAACATACTCAGTTAAAGGCTAGAGGTCTGCTATTTGAAGATTTTATAACTATCCTTACAATTAAATTTTATCAAGTGAAAACTGAATTAAAAACTGATGCAATGCTTGCTGCACCGAGGAATTGCTGTATATTTTTAAGAAAAGGAAAGAAATTTGTTCAATCATTTGAACAATTCTATTTGATTCTCATGTCACAGTTCTTATTCAAATATTATGATTATACAAATGATAAATTCTTAAAGCTGGATTATCATAAATAGTGTACGCAGTGCAGAACTCGGCACCTTTACATTTATTGTGTGTGCTGAATATTGCCTGAATATTAACCTCAATTTGAATTAACAAATACAGAAATGTGTCTTTGTTTGCACAGCCATTAATCCAGAAATCATTGCCAGAGGGACAGTAGGTTTTTCTGGAGCTGAATTGGAAAACCTTGTGAATCAAGCGGCATTAAAAGCAGCAATTGATGAAAAGGACATGGTTACTATGAAGGAGCTAGAATTTGCAAAGGACAAAATTGTCATGGGTAGGTAGTATATTTTAAAATCACTTATTTATATTTGCCCCACAAATTTGGTTGATTGCATGTGATCATATTATGTCAAAATTTACAGAATCATTGTATGGGATAATTTTTACAGATACGTGAGATTCTTACATATATTAAATAGCATTCGTGAGTTAAAAGAAAGCTTTATTTGGATTGTTTATTTTCAGGGAAATCACACCACAGCTGTTAACAATATAATATTTATATAATAAGCTTCAGAAATAAGTGTAATTAAATGGACCTTACAAATAACACTATTTAGGGAGTGAGATGCAGGGAATATAAGGGATTTAGGATTTAGGATTTTACTTTATTTATATGCCGCCCTTTTCCCTGGGGGGACTCAGGGCGGCTCACAATCCAGGGGGAGGGAAGAACAAAACAAGATACACACATAGAGACAATACATCATTAAAAAGCGCAACAGTCATACTATTCGGGTGGGGTTAAAGTCTTTAGCCCCAGGCCTGGCGGGACAGCCAGGTTTTAAGGGCTATGCGGAAGGTCTGGAGGGTGGTGAGGGTACGAATCTCCACGGGGAGTTCGTTCCATAGGGTCGGAGCAGCCACCGAGAAGGCTCTCCTCCGGGTAGTTGCCAGGTAGCTTGGTCTAGGCTCTGTGTTTAAGACTTTTCTATGCTGTACTTTTATGGCATATATAGATATTGTGGCCTGCCATGGGTGCTACTTTTCTGATGTGAACAAGGAATGGAGTTCATATTGGCCTTGAATGGTAGCTGGGCTGTCATGAGGCTTGGTGAGCTCCTAGCCAGGATTGATATGGGAGAGATTTAGAATGTGCTGTGGTTTAACAGAACCCTAAAAATGGTTCTCCCCCTAGCATAGAAATGGAGGATGTTTTGTCTGATCTAGAGAAAAGTCAAGCAGCGCTGAGCACACTCCACACTTTTTTTTCTTTTTCTCTCTCTTATCAAGCCCAGAAAAGGGAAGAGAGAGGCAGGAAGGGAGAGGAAGTAGGAGAAGTTGAGGGGGAAAGCCCCTGGTAGGGAGAAATTGGAAGTAACCTAACATACCTGCACTGTTTCTTATTATCATTGTTATAAATATCTTATGTGAATACTGTCTATAACAAAAAGACTGTCATATGTTTGTCCATTGCCACCTTTGATTCATAATATACCTGCAGTCCAAAAATGAACCTAGCCTGAAATGCAACTGTGAAGCCTCTGAAATGTAATAAACCTCCAGCAAATCCAGAGTGAACACAAATCTTTGAGTTCTGATCATCAGTATCAATCATATACAAAATGGACGTTTTTATACATGATAAATAGATCTGAGATTTATAGAAATGTAGACTACCTTAGAAAAAAATGAAACGGTGGAAGGGAGTAGAAAAAAAGCAGACTAAGTATATTCATTGTTAATGGAATACTTATTGGTAAAGGGACAGGGGGCAGATAGTAAGAGGAAAGGGAATAAAGACAACATGATTCACTAAAACCCTGAAAGGGAGATACTGTTAAGTTTTTGTCAATATACTGTAATTGAAAGGTTGTTAAAGTTCTCTTGATTTATTTTAATTTCAGGTCCTGAGCGTAGAAGTGTAGAAATTGGTGATAAAAATAAAACAATTACAGCATATCATGAATCTGGGCATGCAATTATTGCATATTATACCAAAGATGCTATGCCAATCAATAAAGCCACAATTATGCCACGAGGACCAACACTTGGACATGTAAGATTTTGAACAGTAGAAAACACTGCTTACCTTGTTGATTTTAATAGGGCTGTGCAGTGCTTTAAATTTGATGGGATTCACGAAGTATGTAATCTGATGGGTTATATAAATCTTAGTATATCATTGCGCTATATACATTTTTTCTTCTTTGAATCTGGTATAGTGTATAGCCCTAGAGTTTAACAATTTTACAACTTAGAAATTCTTAGAGATTTCTTCTTGATCTAATGATGCCAAAGACTACAAAGATAGTTTTTTTAATGTAAGATATTCCTTAAAGCAGGGGTGTCAAATGGGCGATCCGCCAGCCGGATGTGTCACGGTCAGGCCACGCCTACCCCTGCTTTGGGATTGGGAAAAACATCCCGAAATGTCACGTGACAGCAATGTGATGCCACACGTTTGACACCCATGTCTTAAAAGAACTGGGTTGATTGGGCACCAAATCACGTTATTTAAACTGGTTATGATTTAAAGCAAAATATGTTAAGTGATCATAGTGATTTTTATTGGTAAGCTTCAGAGAGAGCATTTCATTAGTTTTGATAGTTTCAATATTGCTGGACAATAATTAGCTTAGCACAATTTTGTATAATACTATAGGACTGCAAGGATGATAATATTAACAATGTTTACTTACTGAAAACTATTAATAACAGTAAATTGTTGTATTTATAAAGAATTATTTCTTATTGGGTTACCTATTGTAACTACATTGATTATTTTGCACATTTCTTTAAAGTCGCAGTATTTTCTAGTTCCTTTTCAGTACTGTGAGTCTGTGTAAACATGCTATTTGCCAGTCCCACTATCAAATGTGCTGGATTTGGTTCTTAGGAAATGGTGAGGTAAGACAATAAGCGAGAATGTTGGCAGTTGGTCATCTCATTTGATTTTCTGTGACAAAGCTTCCTCTCGAACCCCTTTGATATACCATGACAGTGATATTTTGGAGCCCTTCATGGATTTCTTACTTGCAAAATATGCTGTGAGAAAACAGCATATTTTACAAACAGGAAAAGCTTGCAGAGGGCTCAAAAGTGTCTAGGCACTTAGAACCCTTAAACGTTGCAGAACAAATCATCTGGTGGCCATTAAACCTGATTTATTGGTTTTGCTCAACTTAATGTGTAATTTTGTATTAAAGGTTTCTTTGTTGCCAGAAAGTGACAGATGGAATGAAACTAGGTCTCAGTTGCTTGCCCAGATGGATGTCAGTATGGGGGGAAGAGTAGCAGAAGAACTCATATTTGGCAGTGAACACATCACAACAGGTTAGTCAAAATTAAGATGGGCACAAAATGAGAAAATGTGTTTTATTTTAATATTGAAACAGATTTCTCTGAGATTATAGAGTTAGTCTTCAATTTTCAACCATTTGTTTAGTTACAACACCACTGGGGAAAAATGACTTATGACCGTTTTTCACACTTATAACCATTGTAGGATACCCATGTTCACGTATCAAAATTTGGCTGCTTGGCAGCTGGCTCATATTTATGAAGTTGTAGTGCCCTGGGGTCATGTCATCATTGTTTGCAACCTTCTGACATTCTGACAGTCAATGGGGAAGCCAGATTCACTTAACGAAGAGTTATTGAACTAGTAGCTACAGTTATTCCCTTAACAATTGTGGAAAGAAAATGGGGCAAAACTCATTTAATAACTGTCTCACTTAGCAGTGGAAATTTGGATTGTAACTGGTTGTAAGTCTAAGACTACCTGTACAGAGTTCTTCGGGTCAGGTACAGTTTTATTGAACCAGAACCCAAATCACTTTACTTTTAGATGCAACTGACAGAGTGACTAAAGCAAGGCTGGTATGCATCACTCCTGATTTTCTCTCAGCAACTTCTGATGAGGCACATATCACTGTTCATGTGGTTTTTCCAAATGCCTTCCCTTCTTCTTCAGCTGTTACAAATGTCTCAATTTGGTATATCCCAACAACTGCCTTCCTTCTTGCCTCCTTCAGTAATCAGTGTCCCAGCACAGCACAATAATATAACTACTCATTCTCCAATCTTCCCAGTATTTCACCCCCCTCTTCATGGCCCCATTCATATATCCTGGTCTTTTCCTGCATTCTCTTCTTTGAACATTTCTCCCAGGAATAGATGCATTTAGTTGTGTGACCCATATTTAATTCCACTCATGCACTTATAACAGAGATTTTAGTTAGGTACAGACTACTCAAATACTCTGTACGTTCCTAATCAAAAAAAGAACTTTCATAATTCATATGTAAGGAGTTTAGCTTTTTGAATTAACGTTATGCTGTTTATAATTACCTAGGTTCTTCTAATGACTTTGAGAATGCTACTAAGATAGCACAACTCATGGTGACCAAATTTGGAATGAGTGACAAGGTACAATTACGTTTACTCTTCTTTATAATGAATTTGCAGTGAAATATTTTCATGTCGTTGATGCACAAATATACAGTGCATTCAGAAAATATTTAGACCTCCTTCACTTTTTATCAATTTTGTTACGCTGCATACTGATTCTACATTTGTTAAAATTCATTTTTTCTCATTAATCTATGCTTAGTAGACTATAGCAACAAAGTGAAAGCAGAATTTTAGAAAAGTCTGTAAATTTATTTTTTTTTAAACCCTGAAATATCACATTGGCATAAATATTCAGATCCTTCATTCAGTACTTTGTTGAAGCACCTTTGGCAACAATTAAAACCTTGAATCTTTTTGAGTATGATGCAACAAGCTTTGCGCACCTAGATTGGGTTTTTTTCTGCCAATTTTCTTGCAATCCTGTCAAGATTGGATGGTGACCATCATTGAACAGCCATTTTCAAGTCCCTCCAGAGATGTTCAATAAGATTCAAGTCAAAGTTCTGGCTGGTCTACTCTAGGACATTCATAGTGTTGACAACTCTCTTGTTTTGACAGTGTGCTTAGAATCGTTACCATGTTGGAAAGTAAACCTTCGGCCCAGGCTGAGATCCTGAGTGCTATGGAACAGGTTTTCATTGAGAGTATCCCTGCAATGTGCTCCATTCAGCTTTCCCTGAACTCTGACCAGTCTCCCAGTTCCTGCTTCTGAAAAACACCCCTATAGCATGATGATGCTGCCACCACCATGTTTCACTATTGGAATGATACTGAGCAGGCGATGAGTGGTGCCTGCAGACACAACATCCTTCAGACATAACATTTAGAATTGAGGACATACAGTTCAATCTTGGTTTCATCAGACCAGAAAATCTTGTTCCTCAAAGTCTGAAAGTCCTTCAGGTAATTTTTTGTAAACTCCATTTCATATGTTTTGCACTGACAAGAGGCTTCCGTCTAGACTCTAGCCACTCAGCCATAAAGCGCAGATCAGTGGAGCGCTGCAGTGATGGTTGTTCTGGAACTTTGTCCCATCTCCACACAAGATCTCAGCGTGACCAGTGGGCTGTTGGTCACCTCTCTTCCTAAGACCCTTCTCCGCCAGTTGCTAAGTTTGATTGGGTGACCAGTTCTTGGAAGAGTCCAGTTGAGAATCTTGGAGGCCACTGTTCTTAGGAACCTTCTATGCATTTGAAATTTCATTGTAACCAGATCTGTTCCTTTCAATAACCCTGTCTCTGAGCTCTGCAGGCAGTTCTTTTGACCTTTTGCTCTGCTACAGTATGCACTCTTAGCTGTGAGGCCTTCTATAAAGAGGTGTGTGCTTTTCCAAATCATGCCCAATCAATTTACCACAGATTGACTCCAATCAAAATGTAGAAACATGTCAGCAACTGTCAAAAGAAATGGGAGGCATTTTATCTAAATTTCACATCATGTTGCAAAGGGTCTGAATACGTATGCCAATGTGATATTTCAGTTTTTTCTTTTTAATAAATTTACAGACATTTCTAAAAGTATTTTTTTTACTTTGTCATTGTGGGGTACTAAATGTAGATTAATGAGAAAAAATGAATTTCAACAACTAGAATCAGGATGCAGCATAACGAAATAGACAAAAGTGAAGGACATCTGAATACTTTCCGAATGCATTGAATGTACAAAACACTCCAGTTATTAAAAATAAAGTTTTGTTCTGATGGAGTAAATATAGTGTAACCTGAATACATGAGATTGCTTTTAAATACCATGGGAAAATAGTACAAAGTTATTTCAACAAGTTTCAAAGTCAGGAGTCACTAAATATGAAAGAAGAGAATGCTAGAGGAACAGGCACATTTGTGGAGATATAAGCACAATAGATAGCCCATAGATGCAAGACTCAGATTGACAAATTTAAAGCAACAGCAGGAGGAGGAGGAAGAAATCAACGCAGAGTAGATCAGTGTTGATAAATGCAAGCATCCAATAATCTTAATTTCTAGATACATACAGGCACTTATCTAATTTGGTTGAAATGCTGATGTTTTTAATCTACCAAAGTATATTTATCAATAAAAAATAACCATCAGCGAGTGCTCTTGCTAAAATATCTGAAAAAAAAATTTTAGATCCAATAGCTGATAAAAGCAATATTTTAAATCGTCTGATGTTCTTTTCTAGGATAAAGTTGTTGAGAAATGTATCAACTCTGGAGATCACATAAAACTTAATGCTTTTTAATAGGATAAAGAATGTGTAGTCCAGATTATCCGCCATGGTCATACCAAGCCATAGGCAGCTTTCATTGCTAATTGTGATTGAAGATAGAAAGTTAGAGAGAGGCATGCTACCTGAGTCAATTAATGAATGCTTGTGGGTGGAAACAAAGATGACTTAAAAATAACAATATGTAGGTGATGAATAAATATGAATTGAATACAAAAGTGAGTGACCAGTGCATAAGCAATACATTGAGGGAATTTGCTCTTTAAAAAAATATGAATGTGGACCAAATTGCACAAGAGATATATGAAGGAAGAGTCAATGGATTAACAGATGAATGCCAACCCATCTTAAATCTAAGATTTACAAGACAACCATCCACCCTGCTGCACTGTATGGCATTGAATGCTGGGTAGCAACAACAGGGACAGAAAGCTATCTCCATGCTCTTTTGGATATCCGGCATCTCCCTTCTTGACCGCATCATAAATAATACCATTCAACAACATTTTGGTGTGGCACCAATTATAGAGAAGATGAGAGAAGGCTGACTCCGCTGGTATATTCAGAGAGCAGCACCTTTCACTGTTGCCAAGGCAGCCTACCAACTAGAAGTCAATGGCCAGTGACTTCGCAAGCGCCCAAAACAGAGATAGCAAGACCTCATCAACAAAGATATGCAAGCTGAGGACCTGTACCCTGGAGACGCAGCTGACCATGCAAATGATCCGAAAAGCAGACCCTGCACTTACAGGAATATGCTAGGAGGAAGAAGAAGTGGATGTGTTGAAAGGATAGGAAGGATCAAAAAAGTTGTGGTTGCAGCTGATGAGCTCTTTCAAATCAAATAGCAAGCAGGTCACAACTCATTTATTTACTTAATGCCTTCCACCCATCTCAAACTTCTGCTTTTGATTGCTGGTAGACCCATTTTACTTGCAGCATATCAGACTGGATACTTAAGCTAGGATGAAATAAAAATAGACATTGTTGAACTTCTCAGTAATGTTATCTTCCCCTTTTTTGCATTTATTTTACAATTAGATGGCTTAAATGCATGAGTTTTGAAAATTTCTGAAATGAAAACAAGTTATTAAGGATGACTCATAAACCGCTTTAAAATTAATTATATGGGGGTTTCGTACTATAAAGTGTACAACTAATTAATTATTCTAATTTGTTTGTTTATTGGCTGCTCATCTTATTTCAAGATAATTCTGGGCGGCTTGCAATCAAAAAAGATAATAACAATATAAATTAAAACATAAATAAGTTAATACAAAATCCAAACACTCTACAACCTGATTAAAAGATGGGGACTAATAGGATGGGAGCAAACGGAATCTGTTGTTAATCAGAAAACCACTGTGCAATTCTAGTCACACAAAAGACTAAGATCCCACAGATAAACTCTTACATAAATATGGAACTGCAGTATTGGGCCGGGGGGATTGTTTAAATTAACAAGTCAGTTGACATGATGTGTTGCTGTCAAATATTAATAAGACCCAATGGTCAGATTCTTCAGATAAAATTAAATTTATTACAAGATGTGTAGTGATCAAATTCTAACAATTATGCTGCGTTTGACTTTTTGAAAATGCTAAATAAATAAGCATTTCTTTTCTCTCTCAAATCATTTCCTTTTTCCATAAGCTTGGTGTTATGACCTTTAGAGAGGCAACAAATTTCAGTCCTGAAACCCAATCTGCAATTGAACAAGAAATAAGAACTCTTTTAAAGGTAAACATTTTAATTCTCTGATTCAAAAGTGGATATTTAATAGATCCTTAATTTTGTTGAATGTTAATATGATTTGCTATAAAAATTAATCAGCTAAGGATCTAAAATAGTATGTTATGTGGCTGCTTCATTTTTAATTTATTGCTTTTAAATTAAATTATAAATTCTTTCAGTAAAGTTGAGATTTTATTTATGTAAGTTCAAAAATTACATACCGTATTTTTTGGAGTATGAGATGCACCCAGGTTTTGAAGAGGCAAATTAATATATATATATATTTGCATTCTGCAAACCTCCCATTTTTCACGAAAACGGGCCGTTCTCTGCAACCTCCCTAAAGGTATGAATAGCCTTTAGGGAGGTTGCAGAGTGCTCCTAGAGGGGTAACCCCCCCCCCCCAAACAAGCAAAAAATAGCTCATTTTTTTAATGAAAACGGCCCAGTTTTTTGTTTAAAAAATTGCATGCATAGCCTTTAGAAGGCTTATAGAGTACTCAGGGGTGGGGGCAAAATTTAGCAAAAAAGGCCCATTTTCCACTCATTTCTGCCTTCTCCAGCCCCCAGGAGCTCTCTGAAAGCCTTCTACAGGCTCTGCATGGCCATTTTGGGGTGGAGTTTCGGGAGGCAAAAAATGCTGTATTCAGTGTATAAGATGCTCCCAGATTTTCAGCCTCTTTTTTGAGGGAAAAAGGTGCGTCTTGTACTCCAAAAATATAATTATTGAATTTGCTTGTTTCTTTGCTAGTTTTTAAAATTATTTTTATGGATATTTATACTTTATACGTCTTATTCTATTCCTTGTATTTCTTGATTGTGTTGATATATACTTCAAAGAGGATCTGATGTATTTTTATGACGTGTATTTGAAGGAGCTACAAATGTTTTTAGATTAATTATAAATAATGTTAGTAGATAATCTTAGGTTTTATTTCATTTGCAGTGTTTTGTTGGTATCTTTCTTAATTTAACTTTTTTGTGCTAGGAATCATATGAACGGGCAAAGAGTATCTTGAAGGCCCATGCAAAAGAACACAAGAATTTAGCAGAAGCTTTATTAACCTACGAGACCTTGGATGCCAAAGAAATTCAGATCGTTTTAGAAGGCAAAAAACTTGAAGTGAGATAACTTCTTGTCAAGCTGTCAGTCAAAGTAGTGGCCACTTTATATGATGTAACTTTCTTTCCTGCTGGATGTATGTGTGCTAATAATCATATTTCTTAAAGTTAAACAACTTGTCTTGTGAGCTTTTGTTCCCGTTGCAAGTAGTCCTTGCTTACTGATTACAGTTGAGGTGGAGTTAAACACGTCAGAAGTTTAAAATCCTTGCTTTGCCACAAGAGATCCAAGTCCAGCCCTTCTAGAATTCTGTGGTAGCACTAATTTAGTGCTGATCTTAGTTGATCAGGTTCTTTTCTATAAGTTGGACTAAATCTTCTATGCTGCAACTTTATGAATAATCCAGATTCTTCGTGCCTGACATTCACTGCTTTTATTAAGTGAGACATCATGTGATCTATTGCAATTTCACTTCCATGTTCTCCATTAATTCAGCTGGTTGAAAGTCAGTTGTGAAGCTTGCAAATAATGGCCACATGGCCATGAGATACTGGAACCGTTGTAAATGCGAGGATTGGTTGCAAAGCTATTTTTCTTCTACCTACAGTAACTTCAAGTAGTTGCCAAACAAGGCAATCAGTAAGCAAGGACTACCTATATTTAATTTTGTTTTTTCTTAGAAGCAAGGTTATAAAAGTAATTTGTCAGAGGTTCTACCGAAACAAAACACTGAATTTATATATTTCACTGCTAGCTTGTTCAAGTGGATAGGACAAAGAACTGATAGCTGCTAATTGGAGCATTTGAAATTGCAGAACATACAGGAAAATAAGACTTCTGTTTCTAAACCAAAATTTAAAAAGCCTTCATTCATAATTTATAATACAGGAACTTAAGGACAGTGCTCTGTCCTCCAGTTGACTTTCAATGTGAGATAAGGAGTTTGAACTCTTAATAGGCACAAAAATAATAAGGTTCATCTATCTGGAAGATAGAATTTCAGAATGAGTGAACAAGAGTTCACTGGACAGTAATATTTGTTACAATTGGAAAAATTGTATTGTCACCTCTAGTGTTGGGGAAATGTTTTCAGTTTTATGGAGGTGTGATTTTAGTGCCCCTGTTAAACTTTTTAAATAGAGAATAGTTATGGAAATTTGAGTCTGTCATTGTGTATTTGGTGGCCCTTTTTAAAATAAAAATATAATTTTTGATTTCAAAAATTTTAACTTATTTTATAAGCACATGCCATTCAGATATTGAGTGATGATTAAAATATGTTCTAAAAACTGAGATTAAGGTAGGATTGACTAGAGCAATTGAGAATAGCTAATAATAATTAAACTGTTTTGTAGGGGTTTTTAAGTGTATAATAGATGCTCTCAATAATTTTAAGTCCTATACTAATTTTAAAAAGGAGTTAAATGTTTAATATATGGCTCTCCACAATTTAAAGCCCTACACTAATTTTAAAAAAGGAGTTAAATGTTTAACAGATGGCTCTCCACAATTTAAAGCCCTACACTAATTTTAAAAAAGAAAGTCATTTCTTTCAGTAAGAAAATAAAACAAGTTTAGCAAAGAATTTAAATTTGAATTATGACATGAGGCATTTTGGTGCCTTGTTGATAGTCCAGTTTCATTTGAATTTGTAGATAATTAATTTTCTTTCAGCAATCCCAGTATTTCAATGGAACTCTTTTCTGCTTTTTCCATATAGTAAACTTGGAAGAACCTCAAGTTCATTTCATTATTGGAATTCCAAACTGCTATGCTGTTCCATTACAAATATATACTTTTTTTTAGCAATAAACAGTAAAAGATGTGCAAATGCAGCATGTTTAGCACACTTGGGAAATCATATATTTTAATTATGCAAAGTGCTTTTTAAAGTTTTCCTCTTATTGTAAAACTGCTTTTACTCTGGTTGCCCTCATATGTAAATTGAGGTGTATAAAACATATTTTAAATCTGTAAATAAATTTGAGAGTTAAGCAAAATGTGTAATTTTTTAATAGCTTGAATTTCCATAAATCTTTTTTGTGAGAATTTCTGCTACTTTGTTGCTGCTACTTGTTCATAACATAATATGGAGACTTTACAATTTAAGATTGAATTGTTAAATAAATTTCACATTGCCAGTATTTAGGTTCTATGGAATCCTGTAACTTCTAACGCATTTTCTCTTTCATGAAACCTTGTTAAGCTTTGAGATGGTGAGAATAACTAACTAGCAAGTTTCCTATGTATGTTCCTGCAAAAGCAAAGAATTAAAACTGGATAGAATATTTTGCTTCAGATTTTGTTGCATACACTATTCCCTACACAATAATTTTTTGTTTTATTTATTCATTAAATTTATATGGCCTCCCCTCTCATGACTGACCTTGGATGGCATAGTGTAAAATATGCACACATTTCACCTTACAATACTGAGAGCAACCAATAGAGATTGCCTCAACACCAGATTTCTGAGTACAAACTGATGAAATTTTGGCTCACAACACTAGATTTTACCGTGTCTTAAAAGAAGAAAATGTGGATAATTAATCAGGTCATAGCGGAATAATAAAATAGAAGACAATGAATGTAGGAAGGTCACAAAGTAACGAGCTGAAAATTGAAAGATTATAGCGTAAACTAGCCATCTGATCTAATAATCTTTGACGAGCTCAAAATGTCTGTTGCTAAGTGGGCATTTGCTGAGTTTTTCTGTACGCTGCTTGGAGAGTCCAAGCATGGGTTAAATTCTGTCTGACTGCCCTGGACTGAATTGAAAGATCTTTAGCCACGCCTCCTCTTCCGGCTCTCCAGATTTTTCAGTTCAGTTGAACTGAACACGTTTTCAGTGGTTCCAGTATATCAATAAAAATTTAACCCTTACTTGGACTTTCCAACCAGAAAAATGTTTTTCCATCCTGCAAAGAAATAAGGTCTACTAAAGTTGCTTTTATTTCCCTGGCTTCTGCTTGTTGCTGATGCTTGTTCCGGACTTCTCCGGGCGCATGGGGCTTCTCTGACACTGGGCGATACGAGCCGCCTTGGGAGCCGCTGCGTTCGCTTTTTGTATGGTGCAACAGTCAGCGGATAGGGGGCACAGCCACTAGCGCTCGTTTCAGTGTTTTGGCATGACAGTGGTGTGAGGACCCAGCTGGCGCACCATGGCCTTTTATTAAGCATTCGGCGCAAAGGTCAGTGGTGCGAGGACCAACCGTTCGTGCCATCGCTTCTTCTGACTTGAATTTCGCACCACTTTTTGCCAGTAGTAGTAGTTGCAGTGGCCATTTTGAATGAGGGAAAACTTCCGGTGGCCATTTTGTTTTGTAATTTTGCCGCGTTTTTCCTTGCACTTTGGAGCAGGCCTTGGACAGTGGTGGCAGTGTGACTTCTCTGTCCGGCAAGTCGGCGGCAGGTGCCCTCCCCACTAAATGGCAATTGCTAAATAACAGCGAGGTGTTGGTCCTTACCTGAGGCCTCTCTCTAGCTGTTCAATCTGCAGGCACTTGGAGGATCTGATCCAGTGCCAGAGATTCCCTCGTGGAGGCATCCTTAAGAATAATCTCAGCCAGCGACCTCCCCACTTGGGATCCAGCAGCTGCAGCTACTCCAACTGTGTTCCAGGTGGCAAGTGGTGACCAGAATATACCTGCCCACAACACAATGGCAGACAATAATCAGAAGGCAATGCAGCCAGGGCGCTGTAGCAGCAGGAGCCTTACCAGACAGGCTAGCAAAGCAGCCTCAGAGGCCATCAACAAACACAGACAGGCAGGGGGAAAGAAAAGATCAAAGTCCCAAGATCAAGTTGCCCCCAGGAGCCAAAGAGCACCAGAGAAACAACCTGATCTAGCCAAGCAACAATTGGTGGCTAGTTCTCCAATTCCTGCAGAGGAATTGCCAGATGCCCCAGCTCCTACTTATCAGGACCCACCACAGTCAGATAGTGAGGATGAGGGCCAGGAATTTTCATTGGATGACTACTCTGACTCAGCCAACTCCCCTAGGCCATCCATGGGTGAGAATGCTGATTTGGTTCAGTGCTCCTTGGAAGCAGAGGATTCCCCTCCAGTTCTATCACTGGCTCCACAACATCCTCTGCCCTGCCGGGCAACTAAGCGTAGGTGGCCTGTGGAAGACCAAGGGCCGGCCCTCTCCTTGGAAATGCAGGAGGTTATCACCAAGGCCATATCCCAGGGTATTGCAAAGGGTCTCAAGCAACATGCCAAGCAACATTGCAGGGCCAGGTCTTCTTCCTCTAAGGCAGCCCTTTCAGAGGCTCTCCAGGGATCCGCCTCTCCCCATTCCTCGTTGGACAGCAAGGATTCAGCTGTAGATGAGGAAGTCCTTCCAGAGCAGGAGTTCTCAGGGGACGAGGGAGCAGTCACGGATAAACCAGCCTTCACTGGGTTGTTTAAACATGTTTCATTCAAGACAATCTTGAACAAGGCCGAAGCGGCCACCCGTATGGGAGTAACTGCCACCGATCAGGTGACAGTAGACCTGTCAAACTCTAGTGAAGGTCTCTTTGAGGAATTGGTAGTTCCCCAGGAGATTGTGCCAGTTTCTAAATTGTTTTTGAACATAGTGCAGAGCCAGTGGGTTCAACCGGGCACTCTAGCCACGCCTGGTAGCAATGATAAAAAGCTCTATGGTGGATGCTTCCCTGGAGGAATTGTTAAAATTGCCTCTGGTAAATCCTCCGATACAGGCCCTTACATATTCCTCAGTTTTACCTCCTGACCTATTAGAGGGCTTGAAAGCAGAGGATAAGAGATATGAAAAGGCTTGTCACAAGACCCATTAGGTGGCTGACTTGATGGGCCATCAAGACAGCCACTTCAGCATCCTTTATGTCCAGGGCCTCTCTCCTTTGGCTCAGACAGATTTCTGCTAAGCTTCCGGCAGGGGGCACCAAATTGAGGCAGGAGTTTAATAAGGTTTTAACGGCAGCTGAATACACTGTGGATGCCACTCTCAACTCTGCCAATTGCTTCCAAGGCTCTGGCCTCTAATGTCACCACCAAGTGGCTCTTGTGGCTTCATCACTGGAACGTAGACATGAGGTCCAAGTGGAAGTTGGCCTCTGCCCCCTTTAAGGGAGGGAAGCTTTTCGGGAGGGCCCTAGAACCTGTCCTAGTCGAAAACAAGGACAAAAAGAAAGTCATGTCGTCTGTCACTAAGAAGACAGTGCGCAAAGGTTCTTGTTATTTCAGGAAGCAATCCTTTTGTTCCTTAGAACCATCCACTAGCACTGGTCAGTACCACTGTCTGTACAATCAGGGACAGGACCGGTCATAGGACTGTCAGCTCTTTCGGCTCCAATTTATGTATTAAATTCATTTGCCATTCATCTTGCCATGAGGGCTACTCTAAGCAGCTTACAACAGTGGAATGTAAAATTATTAAAACATAACAATAGCAACACAATGAAACAATAAAAAATAAACAATACAGCAATCTAAATTAAAAAGAATGGGCAGGGAGGAAAAAGGATGTGCAACAGAGGGAGGTGTCTGATATTAGTCTAATAGCCGCCTCTAGTATGGCACTCTCCTCATTGAGTCACAAGGGCTACCAGCAGAGCCAAGTCTTCAAGCTCTTACAGAAGGAGGGTAGGGACAGACCTCACCCCAGGGAGTAAGAGGTTCAAAAGGGAAGGCATTATGGGGGGGGGAAAAAGGCTCCTCTCCTTGATCTCGCCAGCCAGAGTTCCTTGACGAATGGGATCTGGAGCAGGGTTCCCCTGCCCACATAATAGAACAGGCCTGTCTTAGCGGGATGAGGCAATTCATCAAGTAAGCTGGATCTAAGCCACGGAAGGCTTTCAAGGTTATAAGTAACCTCTTGAACTATAGGTAAATGTTCCCATCACACATATGTACTAGTCATTCCCAACTCTAGGGGGCGGTGCTCATCTCCATTTCAAAGCTGAAGAGCGAGCGCTGTCCTAATATATCTCTGTGGTCATGACTAAACACCGAAGGCGCACAGAACACTGTTACCTTCCCACCAAAGGTGGTTCCTATTTTTTTTTTACTTGCATTTTTTACTTGCTTTTGAACTGCTAAGTTGGCAGAAGCTGGGACAAGTAATGGGAGCTCACTCTGTTATGTGACGCTAGAGATTCGAACCACCGAACTGCCAATCTTTCTGATTGACAAGCTCAGTGTCTTAACCACTTAGCCTCTGCATCCCTCTTCACTGAGCCATCGCATCCCTCTTGAACTAAACCCAGAAGCAAACTGGCAGTCAGGGCAAATTGCAAAGCAGCAGTGCAACATAGGCCATTTTAAGCCCCCCCCAGAGATGTTTTGTATTGCTGTGCCAATGCCTGACAGTTGAACTGCCCTGTGTTATGGGGCAAATCTGATGCAGCCAGCCCGTTAGAGAAAGAGAATGCTGGAACGGTTTAGATGAGGCCAATTGTGGAGAAGAAGACATGATGGCAAAAAAGACATTGGAAAGCCTCATTATACTGAATTTAGAGAACAGCTGGGAAAGGACTTTGGTCTTTTCTTGGAGGTAAGCAAGCAGATTTCAAGCAAAACCCTGGTCTTCTTCCATCTCTTAATTGCTAATTTCTAAGATTACATGAAAGGCAGGTAAATATGGAGGTCACTGGATTATTGTAAGTAAAGATGGTTCTGTGAGCCACCTGGCTTAGCAGCCTGCTGATGTACAGGTAGCCCTTGGTTATTGATGGTAATTGGGACTGGACTTCACCCATTGATTCCTGCTGCAGATGGTGTTTTTCATCCCTTAAGGCCTATCTTTTAGAGTCGGTGAAAATGAATATAGTTGTAGGTCAACTTCATAAAGCTTTTTATTGATTGAGAAATGAAAACTGCTGTAAATATTATGGTGGATAAGTTGACTTTTTAAAAATACTTAGATTGGAACAAGAAACTTTGATTATCTATGCTATGTAATGACATTATACTGACATCCAAAAACTGATTAGATTAAAATTTATTAATATAAAGATCAAACTAGTGACACAGGTACAACAATCAACAATGTCAAGGACTGTGAAAATATTAAGAGTAGTGGATATTCTGCCTTTTAGAATCCACCATTAACAGCAAAGAAAAAAGTAGTCAGAACACATTGCAATTATAATATAAATACAAAGTCTGTCTTTAAT